GGTCAGGGAGAAAAATGCAACAATGAATGAGTGGAAATCCAAAATCTCTGTAAATGTTCATTAAAATTAATAAAAAAGTTTACAATGATTGGTCCAGTGGTGTAGTTTACTAAAATTTCTCAGAGTTCACTCAAATAACCTCTCAACATTGAGGCTTCACTTTGTTCTCTCAACGTTGTTTTGTTTGTTTGTTTGTTTGTTTGTTTTATTGTAGGATTTCTTCTTCTCTTAGTTAGCTAAGTATTAAATAATTTGGGGTAAAAACAGAGCAAAGGAAAGTAAAAGATAGTTAAAATCCTAAAGCTCCTTGCAGTTACTGCTGAGACCTTGCCAAACAAGCTATTAGAGCACAGCCTGAGCCATGTAAAGACTCAGTAGAGGGCAAAGGCTAGTCCTTATACTGGGAAAAGAGATGGCCAAGTTATTTTATAAAGAAAATGCCAATCCCTCAGTAAACTAATAAGACTCAGTGACTTTACAAACAGGAGCTATGAGTGGGAACCTGTAGCAATATCATCCCATTGTTGGGGACATTACTTGCCACTAGACTACCAGAGCTCCCTACTACTATCTTTTATTAGCATAAAACTCACCCTTAAAGGCTATAAGAGAACCTAATCCTTCATAACCTGTCACTCTTCCAATTCCTTTTGTTTTGGTAGAGAAGGGCCCTTTCTTCTCTCTGGAACATATTTTCACTTATAAACTGCCTGTATTTTCACTTTTGCTCCTGTCTTCTTGTCTTCTTTCCTTTGATGGGGAGCTCTAACCATCTGGAGTCCCTGATCACACTCAGCTTGCTGCAGCAAGGGCTTGACCCACGTTGGGACAACTTCAAGCCAGTTGGACAATGGATGGCAAAGAGATTGAGATTGTTCACAGCTTCAGTTTGCTCAGCTCCACGGTCAACACTCTTGACACCAGTAGCCAGGAAATCAAAAAGTGTATTGCGATGGGAAAGTCTGCTGTTAGGGACCTCTCTAAAGCACTGAAGAGCAACGGTGTGTCTCTGGAGACTAAGGTGCGCTTGGTACAGGCCATGGTCTTTGCAATCACTTGTTATGTGTGCATCTATATAGGTTATAGTTGCGCTATCTAATTATAAAAATTAATTGTAGAGTTAGAAACATTTTAAAAGATTTTTTTGTGTTTTCAGTGATTGTATACATGAGAAATAGACTCCCATTAAAAAACTGATATACCAATTATTCTGTGACATTGGTCATATAGCTCCCACAATGTGTGAACATTCTCAGCATTTCCACGTTTCAAATCCACCAGCTGCTCTGGGAGAGCTGGATGGGTAATCTCTTCCCTTGCAATTTATTTCCTCTAAAAACCCCATGAAAGGTCAACCGGTTTTGATTTGAAAGCACACAACAACATAACTAATTTTGTTTACATCAATTACAAGCACCCTTTCTGAGAACAAAACATTTTCAAGGCAGTTTTAGTACGATTTACAGGTCTGAGGGTCAGGAGGGTGGCGGGAGAGGTGGTGGATTGCACACATTTTGAAAGGAGATGAAAATATTTAAGAGGCAAAGAGTTTGATACAAATTAAAATCTGCAACAGTGGTATAGTCATGCGATATATACAATACACAGTAATACTGCTGTTTTGCAATCTTTATGAAACAGAAACTAAGGATCTGATTCAGAGAAATAATAACCAATAATACTCCACAATCAACACTCTTGGCACCAGTCATCAGGAAATCAAAAGACGAATTGTACTGCCAAAATCTGCTGTCAG